CAGGGACCGTATCGACCACCTTGGCATCGACAAGCAGAACTCCCACATCAAAATATTCCTCGCGTTTGACTTAATGGAGCTCCAGCGTGTAAGCAGCAGGACTATCATCATCTATCAGAGCTATCATCATGATCTCACGCGGGCTACCCATCCCTTTGTTTATCATGAGCGCGTATTATTGAAAAAAGCGTTTTCTGCTATCCCTCACAGAGCTGCTGCGATTTTTTGCACGTTTTCCCGTGCGGTTTTAGGACGCACTTTCGATTTACGCGTCGAAGCTAAGAGGAAGTGTCCCGGAAGTTGACGGCCTTAGTGTATCAGCATCAGACGGCTCACTACAGGTGGACAGTGGACTATGCGCTGTTGCCGCAGGAGGTGACTCGCCGAAGATGTTGGTGCAATTGATGGTGAAATGGCGTTTTTAGACGCCTGGAAAGCTCTTTGCCGTTTCTTGTAAATGTTTGGCTTGCTGCTGTTTTGGACTCGTGTGCATCAGTTTTGGATTCGTTTTCATCCCTATGTTCATGTAGCAGATCCTGACCATATGTGGCTCGCGGTCAAAGTAAGGGTGTAATCCGTTTGCTCCCGACAGCTGGAATGACACTCATCTCAGCTCGTTTGTGGCAATTGGAACTTCCTAGAAGGACCTGGACCGCACGACTATGGCTGGTCAATATCGCCCTCTTGTTCCAGGTTAAGAACATCCGTAAACGCGTCACTGCGGCCGCTGCGTGATGCATTTGCTAGCTATCTGAAATGAGATCTATACAACAACTTAATAGGGCCAGGACAGCAAAAATTACTTGCTTGAAACCAGAGTCCGTGGACTCGATCACGATCACACGCCTAATTACCATTTCGATGGCAGCCTCGCTCCCGCCCGCTGGACGACACGTTCGGCGTCGCCACACGCTCCGGAGACGAACCCGCCCGTCCAGAGTCGAGTCACGCACGGCCAAACCCGGATCGGGTCGTTATTGGCCAACGCCGGCGGGGTCACGTATCAGCCGATGTCCGCGCGGCCGAACAGAGGCCTTTCAGACGCTCCTGGGGAACGTACGTGTCACGTGCTGGGTTTCGTGTTCGCGGTTCGGCACGTGCGCCGAGGGCGGTCAGTGGCTGGTCGGCTGAGGGACTCTCGGGAGTCGATCATGTACTCCCCACAAGCACCAGCTCGCAAGAGCGATCGACGCGAGTCATCAGCGGCTGACGTCGATCTATGGACGGGGCTCCGCCCTTTTAAACAGCAGAGGGTGCATAGTTCACCCCGCCGCAATACTGCTGAGTTCCGCATGGCTTACCGGCTAATGGGTGCCGCCTTGCGTGAATAACCTTCCGCGGTCCAAGGACCACTCGAATGGCCCGATTCCACGACTTAACTTATGCAGGAAAATTACAGCGACATGGAAAAATGTCTAGGAAAACAATAAAACCGCACGAAGCAGAACAGTGATTCACACCTCATTTTTGTGCTTTATTCAGAAACGATATGCTGTAAAGCCCAATCTCTGCGACGTTTTTCCACATGACAACTGGCGTGTGGGGTTACTGGGGGGCCACAGTTTAAACTGGGTCGTGTGGGGTCAGGGTTTAAACTGCGTGTGGGGCATCGCCTGCCTCGTGTAGACGGTGGACACAAACCGTAAACACATACGGATGACTTCGCTTGGGACACGGTATGTTCAGCGATATTTCTGATCAGTGGCGTGGCAAAGATGGAGGTCTTCAAGTCGTGCCTCTTCCCCACCCCTTCCGAGGTGCCGGGCGCCCTGTAATCCAAGGAGCGGTAATTTTTGCTGGTTTAAGACGGCCGTAAAGCTTTTAAAACGAAGCAAACGGCCCCAAGGCATTGAATAGCTTAGAAAACGTCACGCTTATCGTCAGGACCTCGATTTGAATCGATTTCCGATCCAACCCGATTTGGCTCCTTTCCTAGATGAAATGTTGGCTACACCACCGTCTCCAGTCCGTTTTCGCAGCACCATGGCTAGAGCCGCATTCATCCCGACACTGTAGCTTCAGCGCCGCCCAGCGCCACCTGCATCGATTTCGCGACGACATCGGCGCCCACTACAGCTGTCACTTGAAGCTTGTTACGACGCTGCAACACTGTATTTGGTCGCAACGTTATGCGACAATCTTATGCAACAACGTTACTTTACATCTCCCCGAGCATCACTCATCCGCTGGCTGTTTCGTGACCCAGCCATGAGTAATGTGAGTACAGCCAGCGTTGGTTCAGTATTGCTGGACTCACATGTACCGAAAGGCTGCTGTGACCCGCGAACTCATTTTTCTGAAATGCGTTCCTAAAGTAGAACCTAAAAAAATGGCAACACACCGTGCTTGCCATTTTCTTAGCTTTCTTTTCTTTTCTTTTCATTTTGCCATTTTATTTCTACAATAGTTTCGGGTACGGTCGAACTTAACTGTATACCACTGACATGAGTCCGCAAAACCTAGTATGGATCTCACAAATTTTGCGAAGCACTAGTCCAGACCTTTGCAGACCAAAGCAATAGTCCCTCAACCGCGATTTGTTAGAAATGAGACACCTGTTGTGCAGATCTCGCTCAATAACGAACCACCCCGCCAGCCTTCTCGTCTTAAAGCCACGAAACTTGCGTGCCATATCCTGCTAGACGGCATACTGGCACTGGCACTGGCACTGGCACTGGCACTGGCATATATTGGCACTTTGCATGCATTTCTCCATCCTACGTAGAGCAAATTCGGACTGTATCACACCGGTACATTTGTTCTGTTGCGTGACCAAAGATCAGTTGTCAATCCGTGGAATGGTCTTCCATCAATGATAGAACTGCACTACGTTCCATCCTGAATAAATTGTCGTTTAGAATTTGTGCAAGGTTATAGCTATTTGATTCTTAATTCTACGACAACTCTTACAAAAATCCTGTCAGCCTTAAAAATTTCCGCTTCTAGGGCAGCTCCAATAGCATGTTCGCCGGCCTTATTATATTATATTCAATAAACCCCGGAGGGCGCCCACAAATATGGCACGAGCCCATCCAAATGAAAAGCTCGGTATCTAGCTATGTATCGTGCAAATGCTACAGATCGTCATTTGGCACATTGCCGTCGACATAAGCGTTTACAACTGAATCGTTCTAGTCGGCAGATCAGATCTATCTACACAGATCAGAGCTACACAGGAGCAAGATCAGATCTATCTAAACAGATCAGATTCTACACAGGAACGAGATCAGATCTATATACACAGATGAGATTCACACAGGAGCGAGATCAGATCTATCTACACAGATCAGATCTACACAGGAGCGAGATCAGATTTATCTACACAGATCAGATCTACACAGGAACGAGATCAGATCTATATACACAGATGAGATTCACACAGGAGCGAGATCAGATCTATCTACACAGATCAGATCTACACAGGAGCGAGATCAGATTTATCTACACAGATCAGATTCACATAGGAGTGAGATCAGATCTATCTACACAGATCAGATCTACAATGGAGCGAGATCAGATCTATCTACACAGATCAGATCTACACAGGAGTGAGATCAGATTTATCTACACAGATCAGATTCACATAGGAGTGAGATCAGATCTATCTACACACCTCGGATCTACACAGAAGTGAGATCAGATTTATCTACCCAGATCAGACCTACACAGGAGCGAGATCAGATATATTTAAACAGATCAGATCTACACAGGAGCGTGATCAGATCTACCTACACAGATCAGATTTACACAGGAGTGAGATCAGCTCCATTTTAACAGATCATATCTACACAGGAGCGATATCAGATCTATCTACACAGATCATATTCACACAGGAGCGAGACCAGATCTCTCTACACAGACCAGATCCACACAGGAGTAGGATCAGATCTATCGACACAGATCAGATTCACACAGGAGGGAGCAGCCCGACCGGTGTGTACGTAGAAGGGTTTTTGGCAACAAGTTACAGTTGCCGTTGCGTTGCAGCCAGACCACTGACGGATCAGGGGAGAAGTGCGGCTACTGAGGTCGCAGGAGGTCTGAGCCGCTCCGAAACCACCGGTCTCGCTCTGACGCAGACCGAAGTGTGGTAGGATGTAGTTTTGATGAAGAACCATTTCACTCGTATAGTTTGAATAGTTATGTGTTGTACCTTACATCTTTGACATTATATATTTATACAGTCATATCATTGTGATGTTTGGGTTTGCCCATTCAAGTCTATGGGATCGATGAAACTGGAACTTTTACGTCTTTGGTAACGCATTCCTCACGACAACTTAGGCCTGGCCAGTCTCGGCGCATGGCCCAGCGGTATGCGCCAGGTCACGTCCCCCATCAACCAACGCAGCTCCTCATCATTGTCAAGCCATGGGCATGGACGGTGGCTGAACAAGATATATATATATATATATATATATATATATATATATCATCTGATACATTGTGCACACTTTTGGTTTAACTTTTCAATGACCTCTTGTGGATTTTTTGTCGCGAATTTCAGCTCTGGGAAGCAGCGCTATATACTGAAAGTAATGGGATGCGCATATCAAGGGAGAAGCATGCAAGGGTTAGTGACTTGCCACTGGTGGATGCTTCCTTATTGGCGTCAACCGCCAATAAGCCCAATGCTTTCAGTTGCGTGTTCCTGTCCTCATTTGCACCATCGGGCAACGCTATCGTGACGAAGGCCAACACAATCTGACGTCGATCGTGGTTGATACGGCTCAGTCGCGGCACGACAGCAGGGGCGTACACCAGGGCTGGAAATGGTGGAGCGCTGCCGGCTGAGGACATGACTCGATGACAAGCCAGTGTTTTGAAGATGAGCCATCCGAACGTTAGAATCGTCACAACCAGGGGGAGGAGAAGGCTGCCCCCCCTCCCCCCTCCCCCTCCCGCCACCCTGAGCGATCTTCTCCCCGCTGACGACGCCCCTGCCGAAAGGCACGTGCCATCATTGATAAGGCCGGGCTAGGACACCTCAGCGGGCAGTACTCCGAGGCTCCCGGCTACAGCTCACGCTCTTGCTAAAGCTGCAGTACCTGCAAGAGGTGAGGGGCGCCACCCGCCGCGCCGTGCGGCGTGTTGTTGGTGACGACACTGTGGTAGAAAAAGGCAGGGAGGGACGACACTGTGGTAGAAAAAGGCAGGGAGGGACGACACTGTGGTAGAAAAAGGCAGGGAGGGACGACACTGTGGTAGAAAAAGGCAGGGAGGGACGACACTGTGGTAGAAAGTCAGGGAGGGACGACGTTCTTTGAAGGGATTGCAATCCAGCCGTAAATTCTTTCCTGTGCAACGGGTTTCTTTCTGCACTCCCTCCTAGGAGAAATGTCGCCCTGAATTGAATGCAAGCTTTGCGATAAGTCTCCAGCTGCTTCGTATGATGCTGAGAAAAAGGAGCTAATTTAGTGCAAAGTGAAGTTACCGTGAGTATGAAGTTCTTCGGGAGTGGGGGAGAGGGTGGAGGTAGGGGTGAGAGCCTCGGCCGAAGGCCTAAGAGCTAAGTTCACATGTGCGAGTGTACGTGTAAGTGCACCACTTTAGCATCATAAAACCCTCTTCACCCTGTCGTTTGCAGATAAGGATATAAAATATTTTAATAGATGAACATCTTCAAATTTATTGCCAGTTTCAAACCTGATAACTGTTCCAAGATCAACGATTATTGTATTCTGCAGGTGTTCATATGAGGGGCACGCGGCTTTTGGTTATATGCACCTCACGTTAACGTCAGGTTTATGGCATATTAAATTTAAATGTGGTGACTGCAATTTTTGCCTGGTTTAGAAATCAGTCTGCGTGAGGTTACTTATGCTTTGGATGCCTTGTTTCAACTTGTGCACGAAGATCATACATTTGTGACATTGTCTGTTTTGTTCTCGCGTTGTGTGCCAGTGATGATTTTTTCTCTGACAAAGCAAAGGTCAGCGCGGGATATCGCGAGACACTCTGCATTTTGACGAATATTGCCTAAAAAGCTGGGTACAAACTGAGTGCGAAGGAGAAGCTACGGAAAGCAGTAAAAGGCAACTGTCGTAGCGATTATCGCTTTAATATCTTATACCATGACTCAGTGGTTTTATAACCTAAAAGAGTATTTCAAGAAGGGATAACGACGCAAGACACGGTATACCTATCATCAATGCCTGTCGACGACCCAGTGCATATTCACCACCAATATTTAAGTGCACGGTCTTGAGTGTCATCGATTTTATGGAGAGAGACAAAATCCCGTCACCTGCATTTTGGAAGAGATTCATCAACACATTCTTAAACCTCCTGACTTGGATGTTCGTGCAAGCATGCAACGACATCAGGTTAAATTCCCGAAAAAGCTGAGGGATGTCTTTTGCTGATGTCCCATTCGCACCTGTGCAGCCAATGCATAAATTTACTTAAAATAATACTTCATAAATTTACTCTGGATGCTTGTCAGGCGTGGACAGAGCATTTGATTCTATAACCTCTAACGGCTTCCATGGCGTAAACAGGTGACATGAAGTAGCTTAAGGTCGCTGTAGGAGTGCATGGGGCGCATGGCACCGCATGGTGATTACATGGCAGCGAATAACCAACCGAAAACTTTCGCCGTCTTAAGACGACTGAAATGTGTGCATAAGCAATATGGGGGCTGTATAGCACATAGCCTACGTGTAAGTCGTTAATGAGATTGTTTGAAAAGTTCCGTGGAAATAACGTACTACAGAAAGATCCGGGTGGCAGCAAAAAAGCGTGACTTAATGTATACGGTGTCAAAATGTCGCACCAAAGGCTAATACCAAGCATTGGTACTGGGATAAAAAGCCTTGCCCTCGTTCTTGTCTCTGTTCACCAAGTCTTCGACAGAATGCGCCGTCTTCGGGCAATTCGTTGTCGTCGCATGTCGCGCACATGCGGCACAATCCACAGTGTCGGGTGTTGGTCTGTGGTCAACGCGACCTTGACCCTGCGTGTGCTTTGATATCATGTGTGGTGCCGTGTGATTGTGCGTGGTGCCGTGTGATTGTGCGTGGTGCCATGTGATTGTGCGTGGTGCCGTGTGGTTGTGCGCGGAGCCTTGTGAATATCCGTGCGTGCCTGAACCATGAGGTCTGTCCCATTAGTGAGCAACGAGTCAAAAAAGTGTGTTAGTCGTTGTTTGAACGGCTGTTAGGAGCGGTCGTTGTTGAAAAGGTGGACGGAAGACGAACGCCACCTGGTAGCATTTTAATCGTAGCAGTACTTTGGTTTGGGGAGGGGGGCATAGTGGCCTACTGGTAAGCGCAGCGGACTCCTACTTCCGGGCCCGGGTCAGAATCCCGGTCGTTCTATGGCTCCTGGGTGCTTCTGTGGCTGATACAGTCGCTGGGGCTCCATAAAACGGATTCGGCGATGTGTGTCGTGATACTTTTTTTAAAAAAGAGCGGTGTTTTGTTTCATGGTCTAACGTCCGACGACGCAGTGGTAGTACTCCATTTTCCCGGGCTTTGCCTCAGTTAAAATCCTTTTAACGTAATCCTTTTGCTTGTTTTTGGAGCATAACCTTACCGAACTGTTGTTTTTCGTAGGCGGGCTTCCCTTTTTATAGGCGCGGTGGGTTCGTGGCAAATGAAGGCGTAGCCTGCAACTGGTTGCTGCCCTTTTTACTTAACTTCCAACCCGATCTTATCAAAGTTCGTCTGGTGATCAGATAATACCAAACTGCCAGGCCGGTAACGCGGGTGAAATTGACGAAAAACAATGCTCTCCTGATGCTTGTCTCTAATTTCGGAACGCTAAGAATACCAAGAATCTCTCAATAGGTTGGGCGTGATGCATGCACAGATGAACACAGAGAGGAAGCACGCAGGCGCATATATTTCTAACGCAAATTCGAGTTTCGTGTAACACTGACATCGACAGCCAAAGCAAGCCGTCTTCTCATGTCTGTTGACATCACGCAATGAATGAGGCGACGCTCTTTGAAACAGGACATTCTCAAATGAGCCCTCGTGGGCTAGGACTCGACTTTTCAGATTTCGAATTCCCCGCAGCACTGGTGGAAGTGTTTAAAACAAGCCCCTCTCTCAGACAATGGCGGTGTATTGTGGATCAAGTAACGAGATTTATGTGGCCGTTTTTAAAAGGCAAAAGACAGTCTGTAGTGATGAACAAACTTAAGCTTGAATCGAAGGCTTTGCATCGCAAAGCGCCAGGTCAAACACAAAAAATGTATTTACATAAAAAATGTATTTTTTGACTTTCATTCTTTGAAAATAGTAGGTGATTCTGAGTCTAGAAACATCTTCTCCACCATGACTAGGGTTAAGGGTATGGAGTCTAAAAAACTTGTGGTACTTTTTTGGCCGACCGTGACTATTAAAGCCTTGGACCACGACAAACCCTGGGCGACTGAACCATTGCCACTCAAACGCTTCTTTGGCTGCAATGCAAGAAATCAAATGCAGTCACAACGATGACACCCCAAGCTCTTGCTCGCCTTGTACAGGGCGATTCCACGATAGTAATTCTGCAACAAAATTATTATGGTACAGCGACTTAACTTCTTCTGCCAATTCTTGCACACGACATAAGTGCTACGCGACAAAGGTTATAACCGTCATTGTTTCTTCTGCAAACACCTATATGGTGATTTTTATACTCAAATATACTAATACACGATATACTAAAAACAGATACTAAGCAACTGCTAAACGGGTAGTAAAACACGACATTTCGTCTACTGTAAATAATTATACGCGGCGTTGGTGCTCCGTGCCAAAACTTCTACTTCGAAAATGAATATTCGTCACTACTGCTGCTGCTAAAACATACACCGTCACTGCTTAAACACTATTTCACTTCTACCGCAGGCAATTTTACATGACATTAGTGCTAAACTAGAAGACTAATGCTTCAAAGCCTCATGCCTGTCAAATCTATACTGCAGACATATACAGCCATTGCTGATTCAAAGAATTACGTCTACTGCAAAGACTTACACTCGACATTTGAGCTATTGCAAAGCCTTGTGGCCAAGTCCACGAACCAAGTGAGACATGTCCAGAGCATATCTCACACACTCAACATTTGTGCTACAGCAAAGCCTTGTGACCAAGTCTACGAACCAAGTGAGACATGTCCAGAGCACATCTCACCACTGCCTCGTATTAACTAAACTAAGTCTCGTAGCGTTACCGCAGACCATGCCGCCATGCATGGTTCGTCGGGCAGCGGGCGCTCGGGGCGCCGGGCGCGCCACGGGGCGATAGCGCGGCGCAAATCAGGGCGGGTATCGGAGCGTGGGTCTCTGATAGCAAACCGGCGGACAAACAGGGGGTGACCATCGAGTGCTGAGATACGTGGCCCTGTCAGCGGCGGGGAGTGGGAGGCACCCGGGGTCTCAGCAGGTGGGATCAATAGGACATATGATGGGATATGACAGAATAGGGTAGGATAGGATAGGGCAGGGTTTGGTATAATGATAGGATATGACAAAATAGGGTAGGACAGGACAAGGTAGGGTTTGGTGTAATGTGATATGGCAGGATAAAATGGGATCCAATGGATGAAATCCTATCCCATTCTATGAACAGGATCCTACCCTTTTCTATGGATACTCGTAAGCTTGTGAACGGGTGGAGTTGTTGGTGAGCGTGCACGACCTGCTGTCGTAATGTAGGGTATGACGACGGAGAGGGCCGGCGGTTGGTGCATGGAAAGTCTTAAATGAAAACTTCAGAGGCAAGCAAAGCTCCTCTTGATCGTCCCGTCAATAGAAAGTACAGGCTCGTAAAGCTCCCTTCTGCCCATTTGCAGGTCCGATGGCGACAACGCGGTGGCTGGCAACACTTGTGCTGATGGTGGTCTCCGCCAGATGTCAGGAGGTGAAGCTGGTCTTCACCGTCGACATAGCTGGCCACTACGTGCCGTATGACGAATCTGGTGTCGACTGCAAGCCAGAAACCCAAACAATTTCCATTTTACCGGGAATAATGGAGTTGTCCAGCAATGAAGACGATGATGCGATGGACGCGAAGTCACCCACTCCACACTGGCCGCAGGACTGTAATGGTGGACTAGGGAGGTAAGATCTTGGGTCAAGATCCATTGAGGTTCATCCGCTCCTCTTATCCTCTATCTCGCTTCATCCTACATCCTCATGACACCCCACTTGTCCGGGACAGGCTGCATGCGTCAGCCACGAGTGGGCCGAGAGCCCCGCGGGAAAGGGGACCCCGACCGGGTACACAGCGCACATGCGCGGGTTAAAGCCCGGCGATTGCCCCCCTCCCCCCCTCCCCCCAGGCGCATGCGAGTCTGCTCCACTGTTAACCATTTTCCAGCATCTTATAGCCCTGAAATGATAAGTTCTGGTCGAAGGGGTTTCAATGAAAAAAGCCAATCCCTTGAGATTCAATCACGGGGGCTCGCGTAGACCCATTCGGTGGCCATACACCCGTCTGGCAAGACCTTAACAAGTGGTTTGCTCCTTTTGCGGCCCCAGTCAAGGAGTCCTTTTTTGCATCGTCGTGCTCGTGCTTTTTTGTTTGTACTCTTCTCGCTCTCCCAGTATGGGGAAAAGAAGCAAGCGTAAGAAGGAATACACTGACACGGACTTGAACTCGGTCTCTGACATGGATATTTCCCTGGATATAGACGACAGAAGTCCCGCTAGTTGCGCTTTGGCTACCATTTAGCCTGATGAACCTCGCGCGCCCCAGGCCCATTTCATTGGTTCATGCACTTCCGCCGTGGTGTCTGGACAGCACCCGTCTCCACCCAACGACCCTGGTTCCGATCCTCGCTCGTCTTCGACCACCCCGGTGCCTGCTCGCTCTGATGCTGACCCTCGCTCGACAGTGACCAGTGTTCGCCTGCCCTCTGAACCAATTCTGGATCCTCTCGGCTCTTACGTTGTTGTTCAGCCCTGTGATGAGAACGTGTCATTCCGGAAGATTAACATTTTCTGGCCATCAAAACAAATCAAGGCTATCTGCGGTCCATGCGAACTCAAAATTGAGGCTCTGGCAAACGAATCACTCATCATTAAAACAACCACTCGTACACAAACCAAGGCCTTACCCAAAACAACTGAATTCTGGGGGAAACAAGCAAAAGTCTCCCTGAACCATGCCAGAAACACCAGTAAAGGCACCATCTTCGCGCCTGAGCTCCGTTTCATGACGGAGGGCGAGATCCTGGTGGATCTCAGGGACGAGCAAGTTTGCCATGTCCGACGGCTGACGACTTTCAGAGATGGTCAGCGTCGTGACACCAGCCTGCTCGTTATCACCTTTGCTACCACCCGACTTCCAGACACGCTCACCGCTGGTTACCTTCGTTATAAAGTAAGAATATTCATTCTAAATCCACTCAGGTGCTTCAAATGTCAACGATTCGGACACGGTAGCAAGTACTGCAAACAGAGTGTCATATGCTTTAAGTGCGGTGAGACTCCTCACGTAGTTCCGCTTTTGTGTGTGGTCCCGATACGCGATCACTTACACTGCCAGCCCATGCGTCCGTGTATACTGCAGAGCCTGTGGCCATCATTATGTCACTCTGCTTTACAGAGGTGGGCGAAGACAGTCTGTACGTGATTTTGTCGGATTCCCTAAATGCCCTTTCGGCATTAAGGCGTTTTAATCCGGTAAATCCCCTTATACAGGATATTTTACTGTACTTACGTCTCGACTCTCTGTACCGGGCTGGCAAGACCATAGTGCTTTGCTGGATTCCGAGCCACGTTGGCATTGCGGGAAATGAGCTGGCTGACTCTGCCGCAAAGCGTGCTACTCGTCTCTGTCGCGAGGCATTTGCGATACCCGCTACATACCTATACTCGGCCATCTCTGCCTTTTCGCGCGGGGAATGACAGAGCACATGGGATGCGATGGGCACCAGTAAACTCAAAAGCATTAAGCCGATTGTTCATGAATGGCAGTCATCCTATCGAAAGTCTAGACGGGAGGAAGTAATCCTGTGTCGGTTGCGGATTGGCCATACTTATGCTACACATCGATACCTACTATGTCACGACGAACTACCAGGATGTCGCCACTGCAACACCACGCTCACAGTGGAACATGTGCTCGTATGCTGTCCCATACTACGCGTCGAGCGTCTGAGGTACTTTGGCCCGGCGGCGCCGTCCCTGACGCTCTCCGATTTACTACGTCACAGCTCACCACATATCGAACATACCCTCAGGCTCGTATCGTACTTTGGCCCAGCGGCGCCGTCCCTGATGCTCTCCGATTTGCTACGTCACAGCTCACCATATATCGAACATACCCTCAGGCTCGTATCGCATGTTAAGTTCTGCACTTCATATACGCCTGCCTGAATAGATCATTCCGCGTGTAGGAAGTTTATATGTTGCCGAAAATTTCGAATCAATATGTTATTTTGGGTTCAGGTTGTCGGACATCATTGGTGGCGCGTTCCTGTCACAACTCAGCCGTTTTCATTTCTGACTAATATGATTTTTTAGCCATTTACCGCCGTAGGTAGTCATTTAGCCGTCATGGGTGCAAAATGACCACAGAAGTCGGCGCGCCCCAAAACTCCAATCAACAACAACAAGACTCCTCACGAGGGGTATGTATGCACATTATCCCAAAAGCGCCTGAGCCGTGGAGATGCTCATCACGCCGGCAACTGTCCTCGGCGTCCCACATGGACAAAAGGAAAAGAAAGATTGTTCTGAAAAGGCCAAGACAGATGTGTCGCACCCCGAGACATGGCACAATTTGAATCGAAAATGTCGTCGCAATCTAGCGAAACGTTGCACAAGTATCAAAAGCCACGATGGCCACACGTGGAACACAGACAGACTCCATCACCCAGCTGCGCCCCCTGAAGCTTCTCACCCCCCGCCCCTCGGTCTCAGCTGAGTCAGCTACACAGATCCAGACAAAAATGTCGTTGAGTCGCCCCTGGCTGGGCGCTCGGATGCGCAGGCGCCCGTGCGCCCCCGTCCTTAGGTTGGCCGGCATTCCAGCCCGCCGGCTGTGCGTGATACACGTGCGGCTCAGGCCGTACGGCGTCCTAGCCCGCCGGTTATGAACAGTCGGAGACCAGGTCCCTTTGGCCACCACACGAACATTGCCTCCCCTCCCTCCACCACAATACCTGTCGAAACACGCCCGAACGAAGAATGCCGGTCCCGTCCATCGGTGAGTGTGGCGATGGGACGGCCTCGGTCTGTTTCGTTCGGGCGACTTCCCATCAACCGGTGGGAATGGGTCCCTTCATCATTAAATGTCTTTCATCTTGCAGGAGAATTGTCGCGGTCTCATTTCAAAATGGTCTGAAATGAAAGCACTTTTTGCCGTATTAGCTCCAATCATCGCTTCCGTACAGGAAACATGGTTTCGTCCCACCGACACATATAACTTTAAAATGTCTTTTTAATCTGTCTTTTAAATGTCTTTTTTTAAATGTCTTTTTTTTCTAAAATGTCTTTTTAAAATGTCTTTTTAAAATGTCTTTTTGTCTTTTTTTACTCGTTATATCGCCGTGACACCACGGACGGTGAGCGTCGCCAAGGTGGGGTGGCGCTGTACATCAGTCAAGAATCAACAGACACGCCACTCACTCCTAACACACCTATTCAGGCTGTTGCATGTTCAGCTCGGCTGCGTGGCCGTATCTTCGATGCATGCTAAACATACATTACACCAAATTATAACAATACGGAGCTCTTACCGCAACTTGACTAACTCGTTGCTCAATCGCAAAACCCTTTTCTCATCCTCGGCAATCTCAACGCTCGCAGTCCAACGTGGAGAAACGGCACCCAAGCCGTTGATCGCCGAGGACATTTGGTTGAAGATTTTATTGATACACACAACTCAGTCCTGCTAAACAAAGGCAATAATACTTATCACCACCTACCCACTGGAACGGAAACAGCCATTGACTTGTCACTGTGCTCTCCCTCAACAGGAACTTTCTTTGATTGGACTATTGAGGGAGATGTCCACGGCAGTGGCAATTTTCCAGTAACAATTTATACCACTTTTGGTATTGCGGCTGATGCACTTCCTCGATATCTATCCCGTTAGAATTTGCGGAAGGTAGACCAAATTTCAGAAACTTTGCATTACCAACCATCATCGCTATGATTCACCAGAGCAAGGAGTTGGTTTTATCACACACATTCTTCATTCTGCAGCAACCGCGACAATTTCAATGACTAAACCCCCACCACGACGCCGTCCTGTGCCGCGGTGGACAGATGATGTTGAGAAGGCCATTGCCAAACGTAAGCGTGCTTTTCGAAGTTATCGACGCGATCACGACATTCCACTTTACTCGCCCGCAACTCTGAACGTGCTCGAGCCAGGAGAATCATAAAAGCCGCCAAACGTTGTTCCTGGTTAAACTTCCTACAACAATCTACATCATCTACTCCGTGAAGCAAAATTTGGGGATTAGTTCGCACACGTTCTGGTAAGCGGCCGGCTTTTTCTCATCCAGCTCTCCGAATCAACAATGCCTTAGTTACATCATCACAGGTCATGAAGGTCTTGCCCAAAGTCTAGCACATTGTAGTTTTTCTGACAATTATAACGCAGGTTTCATGGATCAAGCGGGATCCCGATTTCATTTACATCCCCATTGCTTTCTTTCCGACAATAAAGAAGACTACAATGGACTAGTTTCTTTCTCAGAGCTCTGCGATGCGATTAAATCCACCGGTGACACCTCAGCATGCCAGGGTGAGCTACATTATGGTTTCTTCCGTCACTTACCTGGCATCAAACTTTAACTGATATTGAAAATTTTCAATGATTTGCGGTCCTCTCATATTTTTCCAGAAGCATGGAAGGAAACAACAATGATTCCGATACCAAAACCAGGCAAGGAGTCGCACAACCCAGTCAGTTGCCGTCCAATTGTGCTCACCAGCTGCTTGGGAAAACTTATGAAACTCATGGTTGGCAAACGCCTTGGTTGGATAATGGATTGTAAAAAAAAACTCATATCGGATCAGCAATGTGGATTTCGACGTAACCGTACCACCTGTGACCATCTTATTCGTCTCGAAACAGATATTCGTCGCGTATTTCGCCAAAA